AGGGATGGTTTCTTTTTGGCGAAAGCAGTGACCGATCTCATAAATATGAAATGGGTGCTGCTTAAATTCTGAAAATAAATTGACGAGAACATCGTAGAACAGTGTTTTGACTTTCCACTATAACCTAAATGAATTGCAAACCAGAAACAAACTAAAAGCTGTCTCAAAAACCTATTTAAGGAATGTAAGTCCGACAGAAGTTGCGAAAATCATCAAAGGGAAACAAGGTCAAGAGAAGGGAGCTGCCCCGTACAGGTTATTCACCTCACTCGTTCACACTATATCTGCTCTACACCTCGTTTGTGAAAAGCAGCGTCTTTGCTTGCCATTCTAGACTCCACGTTTGATGCGACTGAACACATTTCAGGGCAATCGCTACTGACCCATGTATCCTTGCCATCTGGATATCGAATTTAGGCAACTTTGTTGGTTTCCAGATCTTCCTACTTTATGGACCAACATATATCAACAAGGTTTGTTTACAACTGTTTGTAGCAGTAGGCAGAATTCGTTGCCCCTAATGGCAATGGTCTTAAGCTGAGTGAACTGCAAGTTTGGTGGCGGAGACCGATAATACCTCCCATCAGTGGGTTACCACTTGTTTCGATAACCAGCTAAAGAGAAGTTCCTATGGCAGCCGGTGCTAACAGCAGCTTACAGCTCTGTCCTAATGCTCACTACCTAAGTATAACACATAACGACGCCCAAGAAAGCTACTCATCCCGAAAGGCGTTCGAATTGGCATTGTCGAGAATGACAACTGGGTATATATAAGTAGATATACCTGAGGCAGTTCCAAGAAGGAAGCCACCTCGTGTCCAGTTGAAAATTCCACAGCTGACACCAACTTAGCCATAACTTAACCTTTTGAGTTCCTTCCTAATAATGCCGCTCCTAAGTGATGCAGCTGAATCGCATACCATTTCAGGTACTCCATTACAATGTAAGAAGCACAGGTTTCACTACCGCCTTACCCTACATACTATCGGCAATGGGAAAGTTTATCGTGGGACCGATATCCGACCGAGCAACTTGTGTTTCGGATAAATGGCGTTTGGTGCTCTTCGCCACTAGTTCCTATGGAGTTATGGGTCTATCATTCCTCTCCCTTGTATTTGTGAGTTTTTAGCCTTCAGCTATTCGAAAAATGAACTTATTCATCGAAGCACGACCTTTCCACAAATTTTTTTGTTTTTTGGGCAGTTGTAAATGGAAAAAAAGGAACTCCTTCTAATGACCACTGGAGCTCTCTATCGCTGTGCTAGATCATACGTACTGCTAGCAACAGCAGGAGAGTACATATCAGTCAGGCAGGACCTGCGACTGAACATTTATGTGTTTTGGTGCGGAGCTACCCTCAAATAGGGGCTACCATAATGATCACCGAACCACTTTACTAAGTACTTCCAGCACATTCGAAGAGCGACGTCGCAAAACCTGAAATGTTCTGGACTCTTTGTTGAGTTAATTCCAAGTAATTTGTTTTTGTAACTTCAGGTGAAGACTCCCGCTCTGGCTCAGACAGCTTACACACTTGCTATAGTTGCCAGTGGTTGGAACGCAGTTGGAACATTGAAAGGCGCACAAATGGTAGGTATGTGCACCGTTTCGAAAAGTACGAGCTAAGCTTATTGTGGAAAACTTGAAGAGCATATAAGACATGGCAGGAAGGAGTGACTTTTTCGTAAACGTATCGGCCGTGTTCAGTGAGTAGACAATAGAGGACGTCTCAGCTTTCCAAGTGACTATACCCCTATGCGAGTCATCCATCGCGTTCAATTCGAACGCAACTCACTGACCACCAATTTTTCCAATTTCGAATGAATATACCTGGCACAGCCTTGCTAGAGGATTGATAGATTCAGGTTCCTATCAGAGGTCCCTCAGACTTGTATTGTCGTGGATATTGGGATCACGGTATCTCATACGCTTCTCTTCGTAGGTCTTATGGTGAACCAGATCGCCACCAAGTCATCGACTCTCAGTCAGGGAAACCTTTCAGTCTTCGCTCTCAGTTGAGGACGTAGCTTGCAGGATCATGGGACCGCTTGCGCCTAGTAACGAACCACTACTATGAAAGGCAGCAAGGTTTATAAAGGACTATAAAGAGTAAGAAAGTAGTACAATTAAACATGTTAGCCAATGTCATGCCTTCACCGTTATTCGTGATTGAATAGGGATCCTTTTCCCGTGGGTCCGCTTCACCCCGCCCATTTAAGGGCAAGGTTTAGTTAGAGGCGTCACTGAGAGGTGAAATAACGAGCTACTAAAAGGGAAACGTCGCCTCAGACGACAACAACACACACATACTAACATATTTACCACTACGAAGATTTTACTGTAAAAAATAGAGCTTCGAGAAACATTAGAGTCAACATATATAACCTCTTTACGAAAAAATATTAAGAACTTGGAGAAAAAGGTTGTGTCAACCTAATACTATACTACATTCACCCCTATTTCAGGTGGCTAGACAGCATGTTCATATTGTAATGGCGGTAACCTCATTTCTGCTATGCGTCACAGTTCTTCTTATACCGGTCGCTGTCAATGCAGTGTGTCCAGATAATACACCAGAACAGGTATCAGTCTTTGCGAACGAGTAGTACTAATGAATGGCAGTCACTGACTGTATACCCATTTGTTAATTCTCTCTACAGTTAGCCCCGCGGTGTATGAGGTTTTGCTATTCTTATTTGTTGTCGGCAATTGCTTCTGCGCAAGGCACCTAACAGATTTCAGCAAACC